TTGACATAGAAAATTAAGCAAGGAAGCAACACAGAAAACAAGGCAATTAACAATACTAGAAAGAAAACAAAGTTATTCAAGAAAGAAATGTTCCAGTACACATGATGACAGCTGTGAATAATAGAGGTTAATCATCATGACAGAAATAATAAATGGGCCAGGTGCGGTGGCTCACGCCTATAATCCCAGCACTTTGGGAGGCCGAGGTGGGCCGAGGTGGGTCAAGAGATCGAGATCATCCTGGCCAAAATAGTGAAACCTCATCTCTACTAAAAAATACAAAAATTAGCTGGGTGTGGTGGTGCCCACCTGTAGTCCCAGCTACTCGGGAGGCTGAGGCAGGAGAATTGCTTGAACCTGGGAGGCAGAGGTTGCAGTGAACCAAGATCGCGCCACTGCACTCCAGCCTGGCGCCTGGCAACAGAACAAGACTCTGTCTCAAAAATAAATAAATAAACAATAAATGTTTGTTTTCAAAAAATGCCAGAGTTGGCTGGGCATGGTGGCTCACACCTGTAATCCCAGCACTTTGGGAGGCTGAGGTGGGGGGATCATGAGGTCAGGAGTTTGAGACCCGCCTGGCCAGCAGGGTGAGAACCCCTCTTTACTAAAAATACAAAAATCAGCCTGGCATGGTGTATCTCACAGTCTCAGCTACTTGGGAAGATGAGGCAGGAGAATTGCTTGAACCCAGCAGGCAGAGGTTGCAGTGGCCAAGATCAAGCCACTGTACTCCAGCCTGGGGGACAGAGTGAGACTCCATCTCAAAAAAAAAAAAAAAAAAAAAAAAAAAAAAAAAAAAAAGCCAGTATAACTAATTTGGGAAGATGGGAATGAGGAAGTGTTATGTGAGTGAATATATTTAAGGAAGGTGATTTAAGAAAGCCAGATCTTCATTTAGCATAACAGCAGGTCAATAGGTAATAGCTAAAACTAAAATAAATAAGTAAATAAAAATAAAGAAGGGAAATGGCAATGTAAACACATCATTTAGATTCATGGAAGTAAAACAAGAAGACGTAGCCAAAAACAGTTTTTAAAAGTTTCAAGTTCTTTTTCAAGTTCTAAGGAAGTTTAAAGTTTAAGAGTGGTGGAAATTTGGGGATAAGGATCACAGGGTATAATTCTATGTATTTTCTGGGTGTTTCTTTTTTTTTTGTTGTTGTTTTTTGAGACAGGGTCTGGTTCTGTCACCTAGGCTGCCAGGCTGGAGTGCAGTGGCATGATCTTAGCTCACTACAACCTCTGCCTCCTGGGCTCAAGCCATCATCCCACTTCAGCCTCCCAAGTAGCTGGGAGGGACTATAAGCGCATGCCACCACTCCTGGCTAGTTTTTGTACTTTGTTTTTTTTGTAGAGATGGGTTTTCACTGTTGTTGCCCAGGCTGGTCTCGAACTGCTGAGCTCAGGAGATCAGCCCGCCTTGGCCTCCCAAAGTGCTGGGATTACAGGTGTATTTTATCTGAGTTCCTTCCTCAGGAAAGAACCTTCAGGCTTCTCAAAAAAAAAGCATCAAAGAACTGAAACTCATCAGATGGCCACATCCTGACAATGAGATGCTGGACCCCTCATTCATCATAATTGCTCCCCTGCTCCTTCCTACTTCCCGTTTTCTTGCACATTGTTACATTTCTTCCCTCCTATATAAACCCCTAGTTTCTGTCTGTCAGGGAGATGGATTTGAGATCGCACTGCCTTATCCTTGGCTGCAGCACCAGGTTAAAGCCTGCATCCTTGGCAGTACTCAGCATATCAGTGATTGGCTTTCTGTGCCACAAGCAGCAGGACCTAGACTGCACCCCTGGTGTTCCAGCAACATAAGCAGTAACTCACCAATGTTCTGTGACTTTCTTCTTTTGACAGCCTTGAAGTTTCTGATCTTGCTCTTCTTTCTTAAGAGGCCAATTGAAGGCCACACCCCTGTCTGCTGTTGGCTCTCACTGATTTGTCTAAAGGCTGTGGGTACTTGGGGTCAAATTGTTCATGTTTGTGCTAGTGATGCTACTTCCTTTTTCTTTTCTTTCTTTTTTTTTATTTCTTTGGAGATGGAATCTTGCTCTGTTGCCCAGACTGGAGTGCAGTGGCACCATCTCTGCTCACTTCAAACTCCACCTCCCAGATTCAAGCAATTCTCCTGTCTCAGCCTCTTGAGTAGCTGAGACTATAGGAGTGCATTTTTTTGTACTAAAAATAAAAAAAAAAAAAAATGCCTGGATAATTTTTTTTTTTTTTTTTGTATTTTTAGTAGAGACAGGGTTTTGCCAGGTTAGCCAGGCTGGTCTTGAACTTCTGTCCTCAAGCAATACTCTTGCCTTAACCTCCCAAAGTGCTGGGATTACATTACAGTGTGAGCCACCACGTGCTGCCGGATGGATGCTATTTCTTGTCACAGCTGAAGATGCTGGCTCCAACGCTGTTGACATTTCACACTCTCCCTGCACCAATATGGGTGTGCTTTTTTACACTGGAAGAATTTTTTCTCGATTCACAGAATCAGAAAATATTTTCTCCTACACTTCTGCTTTTTATGAATGCTGTGGACACGCAACCGACTTGGCTTCTTTCTTTGAGCTGGCTGCTAAATTTGCATTGTATTTCCAGAGGGTAGAGAGGATCTTACAGTTTGTATGTATGTTTGGATAGTGCGTGTGTGTTTTTGTTTTTAATTGAGACAGGGTCTTGCTCTGTCACCCAGGCTGGAGTGCAGTGGTGTGATCAGGGGTCACTGTAGCCTCCACCTCTCAGGCTCAAGTGATCCTCCTGCCTGAGGCCCCCAAGTAGCTGGGACTACAGGAATGCACCACCACACACGGCTAATTTAAAAAACATTGTTTTGATAGAGGTGGGGTCTCACTATGCTGTCCAGGCTGGTCTCAAACTCCTGGGCTCAAGTGATCTTCCTGCCTCAGCCTCCCAAAGTGCTGGCATGACAGGTGTGAGCCATTGTGCCCAGTATTGTCTATGCTGTAAGTGAATTTTAGACTTCCCTTGTCTGTTTTACCCTTAGATTTTCACTTGTCTTTTATTCCATTCATTTGATACTGTATTTATTTTGATAAATATAATTTGAGGGTGACTCAAATTCTTTTATTTTGGAACAAGGGGGATAAATAATTGAATAAATAGATAATAAAAGTTATTAGCTTTAGGAAAAAAACTACCTTTTAGGCCAGGGGCGGTGGCTCATGCCTATAATCCCAGCACTTTGGGAGGCTGAGGTGGGTGGATCATGAGGTCAGGAGTTCAAGACCAGCCTGTCCAATATCGTGAAACCTTGTCGCTACTAATAATACAAAAATTAGCCGGGCATGGAGGCACGTGCCTGTAGTCCCAGCTACTTGGGAGGCTTAGGCAGGAGAATTGCTTGAACCTAGGAGGCAGAGGTTGCGGTGAGCTGAGATCGCGCCATTGCACTCCAGCCTGGGCAACAAGAGTGAAACTCCGTCTCAAAAAAGAAAAAAAAAGCTTTATGGAATTCCATATGAATTACTTTTGGGGGGAGGACTTATATTTGAGGATCATCTTAGCGTGGCATGTTTTCCTTTACAAGAACGTGATAGGTTGATATATAAGTAATTATGAAAATGAAAACCCAAGAGACAAAAGGGCAAAGACTAGAACAGGTGCTTTACAGAAGAGAAAACCCAATGAGACAATAAATACAGGGAAAGATGCTCGGCCTCATTAACCACAAGGAAATGATACATTGAGATACAATTTTACACTCGCCAGGCTGGCAAAAATAAAACCTGATAATATTGAGTGTTGGCAGTGTGGAACCATGCAAATCCTAATTCTCTGCTGGTGAGTGACACAAGAACTGAAAAACAATTTGGCATTGGCTAGTGAAGTTGAGAAGAGCTGTGTGTCATATAACCGAATGTTCCTACTTCTAGGTATGAGTCCTCAAGAAACCCTCAAACATGTGCATGAGGGGACATGGACCAATGCAATCAGAGCTGTACAATTTATGATAGCATCACATTAGAAGCAGCACAAATGCCCATCAGCAATGGAATGGATAGATTGTAGCATATCTGCAGAACGGAATAATATACAACAGTAAAAATAAAGCCGTTACGACAACATGTATGAATCTCAGGAATATAATGTTGAATTCGAGGTCAAGAGATCGAGACCATCCTGGTCAACATGGTGAAACCCCCTCTCTACTAAAAATACAAAACATTAGCTGGTCATGGTGGCGCGTGCCTGTAATTCCAGCTACTCAGGAGGCTGAGGCAGGAGAATTGCCTGAACCCAGGATGCGGAGGTTGCGTTGAGCCGAGATGGCGCCATTGCACTCCAGCCTGGGTAACAAGCGTGAAACTCCGTCTCAGAAAAGAAAAAGAAAAAGAAAAAAAAAACTGCAAGTCACACAATACATGGAATATGATTCCATTAAATTAAAATCTAAAAGGATGCAAAACTGAACAATGTAAGTATACAAACTTGTTAAACCTCTGAGAATTGCAAGATAACACAAAATTTAGGATACGGTTTATTTCTTTTTCTTTTCTTTTTTCCTTAGACAGGGTCTGGCTGTCACCCGGACTGGAGTGCAGTGGCAGGATCTCAGCTCACTGCAACCTCCACCTCCCAGGCTCCAGCGATCCTCCAACCTCTCAGCTTCCTGAGTAGCTAGGACTGAGAGGAGAAACCCCCTCCCCTCCTCTCGCTTCCCAGCCTCCACCTCCTCCTACTCCCCTCGGATGGGAAGGAGGGTTAAAAAAAAAAAAAGAAATAAAATACCAAAGAGCTGGGAAAATGACTCCCTTTTCGGTTCCTGGTTCCCAGCATCTCTGCTATCTGTAAGCCTTGAAAGAGTTGCAAATGAATATTAATCCCTACAGGGCTGGAGCCCGGCACCGAGTCACGCACCCACATCTACACTGCCCACGCTCCCTCCTGGAAACACCTCTGCCAACTAATAATTTACTACCTTTGTCTTGGCTCTGTAAGCCCCCTCCCTGCCTGTTCCTGCTTGCCCTGCATATGAACTAGCAAATCAATGAAGCCAAAAGATTGTAAGGTTGGACATCCAGCCAATGGACAATGACATAGTTTCACCTCAGTTTCCCCTTTACATTGCCAGCCAGGAAAAGGGGAAAGAAGCTGCTTCTCGGAGAGCTCAGTGGATGAGGCTGTAGCCGACCCCGGACCGCAGATCCCAGCGGAATGAAAAGCCATTTCCTCCATTTGGTGTTCCAGAGGTTTGCTTCTTGCCGCTCCTATTTCAGGACTACAGGTGCGCGCCATCATGCCGGGTGATTTTTGTATTTTTTTGTAGAGACAGGTTTTCACCATGTTGGCCAGGCCGGTCTTGAGCTCCTAAGCTCAGACAATCTGCCTGCGTCTGCCTCCCAAAGTGCTGGAATTACAGGCGTGAGCCACCACCCCGGGCCTTGGGTTTATTTCTAATAAACAAAGGTAATTAGAACACAGAGTGCAACACAGATGATAATAATATTCCTTTTCTTTTTTTTTTTTTAGTCATATGAATGTCAGGTCATAACTTTATTTATTTATTTATTTTTTGAAACAGAGTTTCACTCTTGTTACCCAGGCTGGAGTGCAATGGCGTGATCTTGGCTCACTGCAACCTCCGCCCCCTGGGTTCAGGCAATTCTCCTGCCTCAGCCTCCTGAGTAGCTGGGATTACAGGCACATGCCACCATGCCCAGCTGATTTTTTGTATTTTTAGTAGAGACGGGGTTTCACCATGTTGACCAGGATGGTCTTGATCTCTTGACCTCGTGATCCACCAGCCTTGGCCTCCCAAAGTGCTGGGATTACAGGCGTGAGCCACCGCGCCCGGCCCACTTTATTTTTTTAATTGTGTGATACATACATAGGTATCTATGCTTTTTAATCCCCTTTTCTGCAATGTATATTATTTATTTTTTATATGTATAATATTTATCTTTTTGGGGGGGGGAGGAAGGGAGGGAAGGAGGAAGGGAGGAAGGCAGGAAGGGAGGTAAGGAGGAAGGGAGGGAGGAAGGAAGGGATGAAGGAAGGAAGGGAGGAAGGGCGGAGGGAGGGAGGGAAGGGAAGGAAGGAAATCAAGCAATGAGAGAGACATTGCCGACCTGGATCTAGAGGTTTACAAGTTGATTTCTTTTTTTTTTTCTTTTTTTTGAGAAAAGGAAAGGAAAAAAAAAATGAGTAAAGGAGAGGAAGAAAGAGGAAGAGGGAGGGTGAATGGAAATATTGCTTTATTCTGAAAAAAAAAATGGATATTAATAATGGCCAATCAATGTTTCATTTAAACCTATAAGTAGGTGTGATGTGGTATTGACAAGAATGTATATTTTGTGTATTTGAAGTGGAGAGCTCTATAAGTATTTATTAAGTTTACTTGTTCCGGATCTGAGTTCGAGTCCTTGATATCCTTATTAATTTTCTGTCTCATTGAATCTAAGTCTCTATGTATCTGGGTGTTAGGATCGTTAGCTCTTGTTGTTGCATTGATCCTTTTACCACTCTATCTTTGTTGCTTTAAAATCTATTTAATCCCATACGAGAATTGCAACTCCTGCTTTTTATTTATTTATTTATTTATTTTTGCTCTCCATTTGGTTGGTAAATCTTTCTCTATCCCTTTGTTTTGAGTCTTTGTGTATCCTTGCATGTGAAACAGGTCCGGATGCAACATGCCATTGGGTTTTGGCTGTGTCTTTTGATTGGGGGATTTAGTCTATTTACATTTAGGGTTACTGCCATTTGATGTTAACTGGCTGTTTTATCCATTCGTTGATGACAATTCTTCTTTATGTTGGTGCTCTTTACTTTTTGGTGTATTTTTAGAAAGGCTATTACTGTTTGTTTCTTTCTGTGTGTAATGCTTCTTTCAGAAGCTCTTGTAAAGCAGGCCTGGTGGTAATAAAATCTCTGAGTACTTGCTTGTTCATAAAAGATTTTATTTTTCCTTCAGTTGTGAAGCTTAGTTTGGCTGGATATGAAATTCTGGGCTGAAGGTTCTGTTCTTTGAGGATGTTGAATATTGGCCCCCACTCTCTTCTGGCTTGTAGAGTTTCTGCTGAGAGATCTGCTGTAAGTCTGATAGACTTGCCTTTGTGGGTAACCTGACCTTTCTCTCTGGCTGCCCTTAGTATCCTCTCCTTCCTTTCAACCATGGTGAATCTAACGATTATGTGCCTTGGGGTTGCTCTTCTTGAGGAATATCTTTGTGGTGTTCTCTGTATTACCTGGGGTTGAATATTGACCTGCTTTGCTAGTTTAGGAAAATTTTCCTGAATAATAATATCCTGAAGGGTATTTTCCAGCTTGGATTCATTCTCTCTGTCGCATTCAGGTACACCTATCAAACGTAAATTTGGTCTTTTCACATAGTCCCACATTTCTTGGAGACTTTGCTCATTCTTTTTTATCCTTTTTTCTCTAATCTTGTCTGCTTGTTTTATTTAATTAAGTTGGACTTTGACCTCTGATATCCTTTCTTCTGCTTGAACAATTCGAGTGTTTAAACCTGTGCATACTTCTCGGAGTTCCTGTATTGTATTCTTCAGTTCCATTAATTCACTTATATTCCTCTCTAAGTTGTCTATTCTCAATAGGATTTCATCAAACCTTTTTTCAAAGTTACTAGTTTCTTTACGTTGGGCTACAACATGTTCTTTTAACTCACAGAAGTTTTTTATTATCCATTCCCTGAAGCGTGATTCTGTTATTGGGATGCGCTTGTTCTCCATCAAGCCTTGTTCCATTGTTGATGTGGAACTGTGATCATCTTTAGAGGGAGAGGCGTTCTGATTTTGAGTATTCTCAGCCTTTTTACGCTGTTTTCTTCCCATCATTGTAAATTTATCCTCCTGTCATCTTTGAAATTACCAACTTTCAGATTAGGTCTCTTGAGTGGACGTCCAAGTTGTTAGTTCCCAGGGCCAGAACAGCGGCATTAAGACTGACGGTGCATTTCTGCCCAGTATTCTCCTGTCTGGCTTCCTTCTTGTGTCCGTAATAGGCGACTCTGCCTTCCCGGGGCTCCAAACCTCGGTCAGAAGGGGAGCCGGCCCTGTTTACTCTGCTCCAAGAGCTGCCGCGCCGAAGCGCTGGCGAAACTGCTGCGCCGGCCGCAAGAGTCGCGCTGGCGACCCGTGTGACTCCTCCACTGGGAATCTTCTGCTCCGTGAGTGACCAGAATTTGTCTGAAAGTGTGGCGTCCTCTAGTTCTCTGCACTTCCACTGAGAGCTGCAATCCCAAGATGTTAGAGATTGGCCATCTTGGATCGTTCCTCCAATATTTATCTTCTTAATGAAATTACTTTCAAGGGAAAAGAAAAGTCACTGAAATGTTACTACATGTCTTTAATGTTACAAAGTTAGTTCTCATGTTTATTTTTGACTGCTTAAAAAGTTGCCCTTGCAGTTTGGGCAAAATGATATTACAGATAACACAGCCAATGAAGGTGAGCTACAAGAGATTCCAGTCACTAGTTTCAGCCATGTATTTTCTTCATGTGCTTTCACTTTCAAATAAAAGAATGTCTGTATTATTTAAAGCATTTGCTTGACATATCGAAGCAGATAATATTTTTAAATAGTGGCTCTTTGCTCCTGGCTGTACATTAGAGTCACTCAGAGACTTTGAAAACATAAAATGTTGATGCCCAACTCCCATCCTAGATTAAATGAGTCAAAATCTCTGTTGGTAGGACTTGGGCTTTGGATATTTTCTTGGAAAATTCCCCAGATTATTCCTACTTAAAGGCATAATTGGAAAGTACCATTTTAAAGAAACTTTCTAAACCAGCATTTCTAAATGTGGTTTACTGTACACCACATTGTTGTGCAAAATTCTTAAGTAGATGGGAAATAAATTTGGTAGTTTTTTAGCATTTTGAAAATACAAGTAATTGGGAACAGAAAATATCAGTATGTATCATATCTTTATTTCAGGTGTGTGTGTGTGGGAGGGGTTATAATGAGTGGGCATGTAAAATACGGGATTTCATATTGTAAGCCACAGGAGGCTGAAAAACAGTTAGTTCTAAACAAACCTGAGCTTCTATTAGGTATTCTTTTAAAACATGTATAATTGAAAAGTAATAATTATATGTATGTATAATGTACACCATGATGTTTTGATATGTGTATACATTGTGGAATAGCTAAGTTAGGTATTTTTCCTTACTGCGTAAGTTGATCAAGCAGCAATATTGTTACAGGAGTTAAGAAGAAATTACTTAGGCAGATAGTGAGGGTACAGAAGTCCTTGGTAAGGGTTTCCTTTTAATGAAAAGCAGCCCCAAATCATTTTCCTTTCTAACAAAGAGCAGCCTGTAAAACTGAGCTGCAGACACAGATGCTGGCAGTTATGCCAATCACGTTCAAGATGGCGGCTCCATCTTCCCTTCTCAGATAGCCACATGCACAGTAAGGAGCAGACAAGATGGCACTGGCCAAGGGGAAAGTTCATTTGCATAGTAGGATTAGGGTGGGGCCACCAGCCTTCCCCTAGCGCTATGTAAATGTCATACCTGATCAAATCAATCTGTGAGCCCTATGTAAATCAGACACCGTCTCCTCAAGCCTGACCATAAAATCTGGCACATGTACTGCCAGCCTTTTCTTCTCTGAAGCCCCCTCTCTGTCACTAAAGAGAGAATTGTTTTCTTTTCTCTTTCTTTTACCTTTTAAACCGCTGCTCCTAAACTCCTCATGTGCATTTGTGACCTAACTTTTCTTGGCATGAGATGATGGACCCTGGGTATTTATCCAGATAATGTAGCTGCTTTAGTATCATATGATAGTTGCAAATGCCTCTGTCTGAATCCTGGCTTTTCCACTGACCAGCTGTATGACTTCAGGCAAATTACCTAACCTATTTGCATCTATTCCCTCATCATAAAAATCTCTTATAGTGCTTGCAGAGGAGTTGAGCAGAGGGCACAGTCCCTCAAAGACTGCTCTTCACACACCAGCTGCAAGTTTGAAAGGTCCCAACACCACCCTCAGTACAGACCAAGGGGCTACAAATCTAGAGGTTCCCGTGACTACCCTCAGGTTTGATAATTCGCTAAAAAGACTAACAGAACGCAGAGAGCAATTATACTCACTGTCGCATTTATTACAGGTAAAGGATACAGATTAGAAACAGCAAGAGGAAGAGAATGCATATGACGAGGTCTGGCAGGGCTCCAAATGCAGAGCCGCTGTCATCCTCAGGCTGTGTTCCCCTCCCGACGATGAAGGGCGCAATACTGAGAAGGAAACTCACCCAGCTCTTGTGTTTAGAATTTTTATTAGGGCTTCATAACACAGACACAATTGACTTAGTTGTCGAACCCAACTCCCAGTCTCCCCTCCCGGGAAGTCAGGTTGGTGTGACGTGGCCCAAAGCCACAGTCTTCTAATTACTTGGTCTTCTGTCATGGCCATTCCAGCCTTGAATATCTTGTTAACATAAACTATCTTGTAAGGTCACCATGAATGGCCTTGTTACTGATAACCACAGGTGTGGTCCAAAGTACTTGAGATTTTCCAGGTACGAGAAGGAATAACAAATCATTCTCGTACCTGAAAAATGATTTGTTATTCATTCTCGTACCTGGAAAATCTCAAGAGCTGGCCAAGTGCAGTGGCTCATGCCGGTAATCCCAGCACTTTGGGAGGCCAAGGCAGGCAGATCTCTTGAGTCCAGGAGTTTGAGACCAGTCTGGGTGACACAGCAAAGCCCCATCGGTACAAAAAGTAACAACATTAGCTGAGCTTGGTGGCATGAGCCTGTAGTCCCAGCTACCCAGGAGGGTGAGGTGGAGGATCGTTTGTACCTGAGAGGTGGAGGTTGCAGTGAGCTGAGTTCACACTGCTGCACTCCAGCCTGGGCAGCAGAGTGACAGCCGGTCTCAAAAAAAAATAAATAAATAAAGACTCAAGGGTCTAGAAATGACCTCCTTGAACTAGGACAAAAGACAGACCTCACTTTGGAGGTCAAATTCCTTACTAAACAGTGGTTGTGAGGATGAAATGAGTATAGATATGTGGAAAACTCTTAGAATATTGCCTAGTATGTGCTAAGTGCTCCTAGATACTAAATATTACTAGTGTTTTTCATCTTTGCTCCTTTTATTTTCAGTCCTTGACTTCTCAGAGTGCCTCATTGCTGTTTTAATTTTCACTTTCATTAGCCAGCAGCCTTTCCTTTCCTAGTTTCTCTCTCTCATTGAGCATAAGGAAGAAATTACTTGGCTGAAAGTGGGAAGGAAAGAGTAGGAGGAGAGCCGGAGGCTTTCACCTCCCCCAGCACACCCTTGTCGCTTCCATTCTCAGCTATCACCCCTTCCCTTCTTCTCTCCCTTATTCTTAACCACCTTCCCCTCTCTCCTACCTTTTCTTTTCATCAAAAAAATCTTTTATTTTAGGTTCAGGTGTTTATTTGCAGGTTTGTTATATAGGTAAATTTCATGTCACGGGATGGGGGTTTGCTGTATAGATTTTGTCACCCAGGTAATATGCATAATACCCGATAGGTGGTTTTTCAATCCTCATCCTCTTCCCATCCTCCAACCTCAAGTAGGCCCCAGTGTCTGTTGTTCCCCTCTATGTGTCCATGTGTACTCAATGTTTTGCTCCCATTTCTGAGTGAGAACATGCGGTACTTGGTTTTCTGTTTTGCATTCCTTTGCTTATGGCCTCCAGCTTCATCCATGATGCTGCAAAGGACATGATCTCATTTCTTTTTTTTTTTCTTTTTTGTGATGGAGTCTTGCTCTGTCACCCAGGCTGGAGTGCAGTGGTGCAATCTTGACTCACTGCAACCTCTGCCCCCTGGGTTCAAGCAATTCTGCCTCAGCCTCCAAAGTAGCTGGGATTACAGGCACCCACCATCATGCCCAGCTAATTTTTTTGTATTGTTGTAGAGATGGGGGGGTTTCTCTATGTGGGCCAGGCTGTTCTCGAACTCCTGACCTCAGGTGATCTCCCTGCCTTTTCCTCCTAAAGTGCTGGGATTACAGGTGTGAGCCACCATGCCCCGCCTGATCTCATTCTTTTTAATGGCTATGTAGTATTCCATGGTATATATATGCAGTCTATTGTTGATGGGCACTTAGGTTGATTCCATGTCTTTACTATTGTGCATAGTGCTGCAGTGAACATACATGTGCATGTGTCTTTACAGGGGAACAATTTACATTTCTTTGGGCACATACCCACTAATTCTCCTACCTTTTCTCTCATCATCTCCTCACTTCTCAACTCCCCATTCCCTATGGGTTCTCCTTTTCTAGGAGCTCTGTGCCACCAGTTTATTTGCCAAAGCTGCCCTAGCAACACTTACAGGAAACATGTTTTGCAAAATGCCTTAGAAAGTGTAGAGCAGGCCATGCTCATGCCTGTAATCCCAGCACTTTGGGAGGCCAAGCAGGAAGATCACTTGAGGTCAGGAATTCAAGACCAGCCTGGCCAACATGGCAAAACCCCTATCTCTACTAAAAATACAAAAATTGCTGAGGCAGGAGAATTGCTTGAACTCAGGAGGCAGAGATTACAGTGAGCCAAGATCACGGTGCTGCACTCCAGCCTGGGTGACAGAGCAAGACAATGTCTCAAAAAAAAAAAAAGGAGAAAAAGAAAACGTGGAGCAGAGATTACAGACAGGGACCCACCAAGTCTTGTATGCTTTGGCCTTCACAGTGATTTGTTTTTGTTTTTTTTGAGACAGAGTCTCGCTCCGCCTCCCAGGATGTAGTGCAGCGGCACGATGTTGGCTCACTGCAACCTCCACCTCCCGGGTTCAAGCAATCCTCCTGCCTCAGCCTCCGAGTACTTGGGACTACAGGCAACACCACACCTCGCTAATTTTTGTATTTTTAGTAGAGATGGGGTTTCGTCATGTTGCCCAGGGTGGTCTCAAACTCCTGACCTTCAGTGATCCTCCCGCCTTGGCCTCTCTTAAAGGGCTGGGATTACAGGTGTGAACTACTGCATCCGGCCAGCTCTCCCTATTCCTGATGATCGCCACAACTCCCACATTATTTATGTTACCCAGTTAGACCCTGTAGGATATAATTTTACAACCACAAGATTAGAGATTATTACCACTTGTTTCTCAGTCTTTTACCAGAGATTGAACACAGAACACAGGAAACATTACTAACAAATTTACCAAAATTCTCTCTTACTAAAACTCACACAAAATTATAAGTTTAGAGCAAAGCTTTAATGAGGGAAGCACACGTTAATTTTTCAATAAACGAAGCTCACACCCTGCCACTGTACCCAAGGAATAGTGCTTCCGTTCTTTAACTTACATTGCCTAAAACATAAAGATCCTTGGATAGAAATCCTGAGCGATGGGGCTGGGTGTGGTGGCCCATGCCTGTAATTCTTGGGAAGGCTGAAGCGTGAGGATCATTTGAGGCCAGGAGTTTGAGAAATTCTGTGTGATAGAAAGCTCACTTACCAAATGGTTTTTTCAAGAGACTGAAGCTTCTAGTCCATAAATACAGTTTTGGTTTAAAAACCCAGAATCCTGAAAAAAAATTTCTATTTTAAAAAAAGTGTTTTTGGTAGTTAAACAATAACTTCAAGGGCCCTTAAGTGACATTAGAAATCATTCAATCTAATTCCTTCCTTTTAAATGTAAGGACGCTGTCGAAGAAGAAGAGACGTTCCATGCTGTGTTTCATGGTTTGAAGCTATCAGAACCTCTTAAAAAATTAACCGCTGTAGCGAGGAGATGGCATAAGGTCTGCTTCTTCCAATATTGGGGATCACACCATGGTTTTATATTGTTTTGGAAATAACTTTTAGTTGGAAAACTTCGAGGAGTTCATTTTAAGTTCAGTTACAGCTGGAGCGATATAATATATTGTAATTTATTAGTCGTTGAATATCGATGTGCTCCCCACACTCCCCAGCTCCCATGCAGTTAGGAGGGCCTATGCGACTCGTTTTGACAAATGAGCCATGAGTGGAAGTGACATATGTCACTTCTGGGACAAAGCACAAAGAGAAGAGCACGTTTGTTCTTGATGCCTCTCTCCTTTCCTGCAGCAGTGACAGCCGAGGCCAACTGCAGAGCTGGCATAACTGAAGAGGAAGTGACCTGGCCTGGATGTGACTCATACTTGGAAGGGAGCTGTCTGGGAGGGCCACAGCACCTGCAGCCAACTTTGCGTGAGTGAAAAACAAACTGGAATAGGTTAAACCAATACGGGGATTGTCACTGCAACATGACGCAGTCTAGTCCCGGTTAATGCATTAACAATGCCGTCTCTTACAGTAGCCGTGTTTTAAACTTCCCACACTTACCTAAAACATAGTTTATAATCTCTGCCATTCATACAAATTTAAAAGTTTAGTATTCACATGGGGAAAACATCTCGTTAAAAAATTTTGATGACAAGGGAATTATTATTTACTTATTTAATAATTTCTTTTAGAGACGGGGTCTCACTATGTTGCCCAGGCTGGACTTGGACTGCTGGGTTCAAGTGATTCTCCTGTCTCAGCCTCTGGAGTAGCTGGGACTACAGGGGCATGACATCACACCTGGCTAAGTTTTGTGTTTTTAGCAAAGATGGGTTTTCGCCATGTTGGCCAGGCTGGTCTCAAACTCCTGGCCTCAAGTGATCTGCCCACTTTAGCCTCCCAAAGTCCTGGCATTACCCACATGAACCAGCAGGCCAGGACTACTTTTTCATCTTGAGTAAAAAGAGAGCTTAAAGAGGCCAGATGTGGTGGCTCATGGCTGTAATCCCAGCACTTTGAGAGACTGAGGCAGGCAGATCATCTGAGGTCAGAAGTTCAAGACCAGCCTGGCCAACATGGTGAAACTCTGTCTCTACTAAAAATATAAAAATTAGCTGGGCATGGTGGCAGGCACCTGTAATTCCAGCTACTCAGGAGACCGAGGCAGGAGAATCACTTGAACCCGGGAGGTGGAGGTTGCAGTGAGCTGAGATTGCACCACTGCACTCTAGCCTGGACGACAGAGTGAGACTCTGTCTCAAAAATAAATAAATAAATAAATAAATAATAAGAGAGCTCAAAGAAAAATAAGTCACCTATGACTGATACAAGACATTGTTAAATTTATTTTTAGTTAAGATCTTGACTCCATCTGACCAAAATTATTTTTTGTTTAATTTATTATGTTATACTTTTATCTTTATCAGCACAGACTGACATTTTGGAGGATAGCACAGTTCTTTCAGGACTAAGTGATTTATGTTTTTTCCTTTAATATTTTCTTTTTATTTTATTTATTTATTTAATAGAGACAAGGATTTCACCATGTTGGTCAGGCTGGTCTCAAACCCCTGATCTCGTGATCCACCCACCTCGGCCTCCCAAAGTGCTGGGATTACAGACAGGTATGAGCCACCGTGCCCAGCCTTAATATTTTCCTTTAATCAATTAATTTCCTTAAAAAGAAGGGGGATCCTGGTACGGTGACTCACAGCTGTAATCGCAGCATTTTGGGAGGCGGAGACAGGAAGATCACCTGAGCCCAGAAGTTCACAACCAGCTTGCACAACATAGTGAGACCCCACCTCTACAGAAAATTTTAAAATGAGGCGAGAGGATGGCTGGACACTAGGAGAGGGAGGCTACAATGAACCATGATTGTGCCACTGCACCCCTGCCTGGGAGACCCTGCCTCAGAAAAGAAATAAAAGAGAGAGAGAAATTGGGGGGAGGGGTTAATTGTAATTTGTTTTCACAAAATGGAGAGTCAAAATTGAGGGAATTAGCCCTAAACCATGCAACAGATTAACAAAGAAGGCAACACTGAAATCCAGCTCTCTTTGTGTCCATTGTGTCTGTGCTTCCTCGAAAAGTTACAGAATAGGCCGGGTATGGTGACTCATGCCTGTCATCTAGCATTTTGAGAGGCAGAGGGGGGCAGAACACTTGGGCCCAAGAGTTTGAGATCAGCCTAGGCAACATGATGAAACCCAATCTCTACAAAAAGAAATGAAAATTAGCCAAGCGTGGTGGCACACGCTTTTTGATCTTAGCAATCTGCAAGTAAAAGGGGAATTGCGTCATCTACAATTTCATTTCTCTTAGGATGAAGCTGAGCATCTTTCCATTCATAAATCTGCTTATGGCCAGGTGCAGTGGCTCATGCCTATAATCCCAGCACTTTGGGAGGCTGGGGCAGGTGGATCGCTGCCAAAATGGTGAAACCCCGTCTCTACTAAAAATACAAAAATTAGCTGGGTGTGGTGGCAGACGCCTGTAATCCCAGCTACTAGGGAGGCTGAAGCAGGAGAATTGCTTGAACCCAGGAGGCAGAGGTTGCAGTGAGCCAAGATCACACCATTACACTCCAGTCTGGAAAACAGGAGCAAAACTCCATCTTTGATATAAATATAAGTTCCCATTCTGTGGCTTACCTTCTTATCTTCTTCATGATGTTTTGTGACGGATAGAAGTTATTAATTTTAATGTAGCCTGAGTTATCATTCTTTTCCTGTATAGTTAGTGGATTTTTTCCTACCTGAGAAACAAGTCCCTCTGGCCACTCTTTAATAACACATGAGTCTTTCTTCCTCATTAGTTTAAAATCCAAATTTAATTGTTTAATACTGAACAGATCTTGGTAGCCTAACCAACAGCCATGACCCACTTTTTCCCTGTTCACAAGCAGAATTGATGAAAGAAGGGATTAGGAGGAATGTGTACCCTAAAAACATAGGCTGTTTGGCCAGAGGCACCCTACACTTGATACACTGAATCAGAATTCTTGGATTGGAGCTTAGACGTGTGTAATTCTTTTTTTTTTTTTGAGACAAGAGCCTCAATCTGTCACCCAAGCTGGAGTGCAGTGGCACTATCTTAGCTCACTGCAATCTCTGCCTTCTGGTTCAAGTGATTCTCCTACCTCAGCCTTCCTAGTAGCTGGGATTTCAGGCATGCACCACCACATCTGGCTAATATTTGTATTTTTAATAGAGATGGGGTTTTACCATGTTGGTCAGGCTGGTCTCCCAACTCCTGACCTCAGGTGATTCTCTCACCTCAGCCTCCCAAAGTGCTGGGATTCCAGGCGTGAGCCACCATGCCTGGTCAGATGTGTGTAATTTTAAATGTTCCCCAGATGATTCAGTTATATGTTTTATTTTAATTTAATTAATTTTTTTTTTGAGACAGGGTCTTGCTCTGTAGCTCAGGCTAGCGTGCAGTGGTGTGATCATGGCTCACTGCTGCCTCAACCTCATGGGCTCAAGAGATCCTTCCACCTCAGCCTCCCAAGAAGCTGGAACCACAGGTGTGCACCACCAGGCCCAGCTAATTACAAAAATATATATATATATTTGTAGAGATGGACTCTCACTATGTATCCTGGGCTAGTCTCAGACTCCTGGGCTCAAAGGATCTTTCCACTTCAGCCTCCCAAAGTGCTGGGATTACAGACATAAGCTTCAGTTATATTTTGATAAAGACTAGGATAAACAATCAAAACAAAAGAAGTGTCTAGAATGTCATGGAAGAAAGGAGAGGGTTTCAAGCAGGAGTTGGAAAATAGTCTTAGATGTAGCAAAGAGCTCAAGGAGGATAAATTATGAAAAATGTGTTGGAGTTGGCTTGAATCTTCAAAGTCATTAATAAACTAAGAATGCTTTTAGTACAAAGATGGGGTATAGAATTTGGGTTACATGATATTAAGGATGGGGAGTAGGCAGTTAGAACAGCGGTCCCAAACCTTCTTAGCACCCAAGGCTGGTTTGTGGAAGATGATTTTTTCCATGCATCGGGGGTGGGAGGGTAGGGGATAGTTTCAAGGTGAAACTGATCCACCTCAGACCATCAGGCATTAGATTCTCATAAGGAGCCCGCAACCTTGCTTGTGCAGATCACAATCAGGGTTTGTGCTCCTGTGAGAATCTAACGCCACCACTGAGCTGACAGGAGGCAGAGATGGCAAATCCATCTCCAAAGATGGATTTTTGAAACTTGATCCTTTGTTTTAGGCTTTGCCAGGCAAACATATGGCTTCCAAAGTTAGCGTGTGGTATTTTGTATGGCAACCACAGATCAGACATTTGAAGAGAAGCTATGTCATGTAGAAATGACTTTGGCTAAAAGCAACAGACTATCCGACTAAAAGTGGCTCAACCCATATGTTCCATAATATGCCACTTACCGGTCCATGACTGGGGTGTTAGGGACCTCTGAGTTAGAAGGCAAAAAAAAAAAAAAAAGTATATATATCAAATATTTGAGGAGAGTAGATGGCATTAAAAACAGTTTTGCAGACTGGGTGCAGTGACTCATGTGTGTAATCCCAGAACTTTGGGAGGCTGAAGCAGGCAGATCACTTGAGGTCAGGAGTTCGAGACCAGCCTGGCCAACATGGTGAAACCTCATCTCTATTAAAAAACAAACAAAAATAGCCAGGTGTGGTGGCGCACACCTGTAATCCCAGCCACTCGGGAGGCTGAGGCACAAGAATCACTTGAACCCAGGAGGTGGAGGTTGCAGTGAGCCAGGATTGCACCACAGCACTGGATCCAGCCTGGGTGATAGAGCAAGACTCAGTCTCAAAACAACAACAACAACAAGAGCAACAACAAAACAAAAAAAAACCCAAAACACAAAAAACAGTTTTGTAAAACTAAGCACAAAAGATATTTGTTTTCCAGTTTGAAGAACTGAGATACAAGAACATGCAATCCTTGAATTTTAGAGTTGAGGGGAAGCTTAAAGATGACCTGGTTGGATTTTCTGTGATATTTAAACTTCCTTCACAAAGTCCAGTCAGGCTGTTCCCAAGTAGATGCCTCTCGTGGCAAGGCCGCCCTCTGCCCTCAGGAGCAGCCTGCTGTGTCTTTGCATGACTTCCCGCCAAAGTTCTTTATCATGAGCTCAACACTTTCCTCCTCAGATTTCAGATTGTCATAGTTGAAGCAGGAGGACAGGTGTCAGCTGTGCGGGGATGTTATCTTACTAATACATTTATTTAACGGTTTTCTGATGGAAAGGATTAAAAGAATCTGGCTTGATACTTTTGTTAAAAAAAAAAACCACTAGCTCAAATTTAAATGAATAGAATAGTTTAATAATTGTTCTTTAACGATGAATTTTCGAAGGTTGGTGCTTTGTTTTAGCCTTTGCAAGGCAAATATATAACCTCCAAAGTTAGTATGTGGTATTATTTTTACTTTTTCAGATGGAGTCTCACTCTGTCGCCCAGGCTGGAGTGCAGTGGCACAATCTCGGCTCACCGCAACCTCCGTCTTCCGGGTTCAAGCGATTCTCTTGCCTCAGCTATTTTTTGTATTTTTAGTAGAGATGGGGTTTCACCATGTTGGCCAGGCTGGTCTCGAACTCCTGACCTCAAGTGATCTGCCCACTTTGGCCTCCCAGAGTAGATTACAGGCATGAGCCACCACGCCCAGCCAGGATATGGTAGTTAGTATGGCAACCACAGATCAGAAATTTGAGGAGGAGCTATATCATGTAGGAATGACTTTGGGTGAAAGCAACAGAATATCCAACTCAAAGTGGCTCACCCATGTGACCCATAATATGCCACTTAGCAGAATGTCTGGAATCCCTGGGGTAGATGGGCTAGGCACAAATTTGAGGTTCCAATGACTTTCCTTTTCTGACCACAAGATGGAGCAGCTGCTCTAAACATTACATCCTCAAAGGGCCACGTTTAAGCAGGTGGGAAGGAGACTGGAGCAAAAGGGCTTTCTCTTAAGTCCCCCTAAGCAAGAATTGAAGTTAGGGCTCCCAGGAGACTTCTTCCCTCAGAACTTAATCACATGTCCCTCGCTAGACTGACAAAAGAAAAATTAGAGAACCACGATTTACGTAGAACCTGAAGCTGGGCACCTGGTTGCCTGATCAAAATAGGGCTTTTATTCATGTATTTAATTTTTTAGGTGAGAAAGAAGTGAAGAATAGCCATTGGGTAGGCTGCCAATAGCACCTGCTGGAGACGCTCAGGAGAAATTATATGCAAAATCCACCAGGCCCTTTATCTAAGGGCAGGATGTCGCCTCTTCAGAAACTCTTGTTTTTTTTTTCTCTCATGGTAATGATTAATTCTCTGCAGTGATTTAGAAGAATTCTTGTACTAAATGTCTTGCCATTAAAAGTTTGATGAGTATAGAAACTGACAGTAAAACTATTTTTAAAAAGTCACTCTGCTTCTAACCCAAACTTCTTACTCTAGCTGTTATTTTACCACGACATGAGTTGTACGAATCACCTCCAATTTACATATTACAGAAGAGCCTTACATGGAAAGAAGAAATCATTTTCAAATTAGACATTCCATCGAGAACTGTCAGTAGCTGATTTCCATCATTGTCTTTTATTTCTTCATGCTTTTAGATGAGAGAAATCATCTCTGCAGTAATTCCCACGATAAAATTTTCTTTTTACAGCTAATTTTATGAAGGTTTTTTTTTAGTTTCAAAGAATAAAGCAATTATTCTTTCTTTTTGAAATTGCATATCATCCAGAAACATTAATTATTCTTTCTTTTTGAAATTGCATATCAAGTTCAGAAATATTGACTTCTTTAATTTAAAATATTAATGTCAAGTGATGGGTATAAACATCTATATTCTACCCGCTTTCTTTTTGTGTACTTTTGGTTCTTGGCAGATCCTCATTCCTACTGGATATCTGTTACATGCCAATTATCTTAGGCTACAGCTGTTTATGACAGCTGTTCTCGCCACTGCCCACCAGGCAGCCATCCTTCTGTGGAAATCCCTACCTCTGCCGCCCCAGTAGGGCTGCTTTGGCTGGGGCTTCACCCTTGGCTCAGGCACAGAGCTTCTGATCTAAATCAATCCAAAGCTTGCATTCCTAGCAGAAGTATCATTTCTTTTTATTGGCCATTAATGAGGCTTCCACAGAGTTGCTACAGCCACCTTGACATCTTGAGTGGGAACCAGTCTGAGAACAGAGCTGAGACAGAGAGAGAGAGAGAGAGAGAGAGAGAGGCAGAAAGAGAAAGAGAAAGAAGCAGACCCTCATAATACATTTCAGTCTGTAAGCCAAGATAGCAGCAAACCCTATTTCTGAAGTTTTCCGTTACATAATCAAGTAAATTTCCTGTTTTGTTTAAGCAGCTCTCTCTTCCCCTCTCGCCTTCTGTCATGGGATGACACAGCAAGAAGGCCCCTGCAAGATGCTGACACCTTGGTATTGGACTTCCCAGCCTTCAGAACTGTGAAAAATAAATTTCTTTTCTTTATAAGTTGCCTAGTCTCTGGTATTCCCTTCTAGCAGCACAAAATGGACTAAGATGGACACCCTCCTGGGAAACAGTTACGATAGACTGACCTGGTTGTGTGACTGCAATCTCTGGGCTTGGCTGAGGGCCATTTGTGCCTGGAATTAGAGAACACTGTAAGGACACTGTCCATTTCAGAAAGGCTTTGTTCCTAAGTCAGTGCCTCCAGCCTTCTCTATGGTGACCTTTGCCACACTCCACCTCAGGTGTCGACATCCTCGTCAAAGGGTGAGAAATCTTTTGTGATTGGCTATGATGATGCCATTGTAAGAGAGGTGGCCAAGCAGTTTATATACCTGCTTATCCCTAAAAACAGGCCGTTTATTTTCATGCACAATTGACACTGTAAGTCAAACTGCTTCTTTATGGTGGTAAAGGGCATGTTGATTATGCTAAAGAAAGATTATTGGCTGGACGAGGTGGCTCTCATGCCTATCATGGGGAAAAAAATCCAAACAGAATAAAAGTATGTGTGTGTGTGTGTGTGTGTGTGTGTGTGTGCAGTAAAAATATATATATACAGTAAAAAGTAAGTCTGGCTGGTCTCAAACTGCTGACCTCATGATCTGCCCACATAGGCCTCCCAAAATGTTGGGATTACAGGCGTGAGCCACTGCGCACAGCCTTTCTTTCTAAAATTAGCCATGTGTGCTGGCATGCGCCTGTAATCCCAGCTACTTGGGAGACTGAGGCAGGAGAATTACTTGAACCTGGGAGATGGAGTTTGTGGTGAGCCAAGATCATGCCACTGCACTCTGGCCTGGGGGACAAGCTAGTCTCTGTCTCAAAAAAAAAGAAAAGATTGTCATCATAAGTGAGCACCTCTGTGTTGTATCACAGCAGTACTACATCAGGAAAACCTGGTGGTCTGTTGATGTATTTATTTACTTATTTAAGAGACAGGATCTCATTCTATTACCCAGGCTGGAATGCAGTAGCACAATTATAACTCATTGCAGCCTCTAACTCCTGAGCTCAAACAATCCTCCTGCCTCTGTCTCTCAAGTAGCTGGGACTACAGGTGTGTACCATGCACTTGGCTAATTGTTTTTTTTTTTTTTTAGAGACAGAGTCTAGCTCTGCTGCCCAGGTTGGAGTACAGTGGCAGGATCTTGGCTCACTGCAACCTCTGCCTCCCAGGTTCAAGCGATTCCCCTGCCTCAGTCTTCCAGGTAGCTGGGACTACAGGCGCATGCCACCATGCCCAGCTAATTTTTTTGTATTTTAGTACAAATGAGGTTTCACCATGTTGGCCAGGGTGGTCTCAATCTCTTGACCTCGTGATCTGTCCACCCTTGGCCTCCCAAAGTGCTGGGATTACAGGCAAGAGGCACAGCGCCTGGCTTTTTTTTTGTTTGTTTGTTTTTGTTTCAAGACAGAGTCTCACTCTGTTACCCAGGCTGGAGTTCAGTGGTGCAATCTTGGCTCATTGCAACCTCTGCCTCCCAGGTTCAAGCGATTCCCCTGCCTGAGCCTTCCAAGTAGCTGGGATTACAGGCGTGCACCACCACACCCAACTAATTTTGTATTTTTACAAGAGACTGGGTTTCACCTTGTGGGCCAGGCTGGTCTTGAACTCCTGACTTCAGGCAATCCACCAGCCTTGGCCTCCTGAGGTGTTGAGATTACAGGCGTGAGCCACCACGCCTGGCTTAGGTTTTATTAAACTAAAAAAAATAATTCCTATCATGGGAAAAAAATCCAAACAGAATAGAAGTGTGTGCATATATATATATGCACACACACACACACACACACACACAGAATAAAAAGTCCTCTTACTCTTCAGCTTCCAGGCTCCCTCCCTGGAGGTAACCACTGTTTGTATGTGTACTTCTAGAGATATGCATATATAAACATACATATATGAATTAGTATATGTCATCCTTTGCCTTTGCTAAAAAGGTATATGCTACACATATTATTCTGCACTTTGAGTTTTTAATTAATATATCGTGGAGTTTATTGGATACCAGTTAGTATAAATCAACTTCATCCTTTCCTCTCATTATCTTTAAAGTCAATATGGAATTTATTTTGAAGAGACTAATTTTGTCACTAAAAAATTAAGGAGTATAATTTACATAAAATTTATCCCTTTTTTTTACTGTATAATTCTGTAAGCTTTGACAAATATATATATTCTATTTGTAATTTTTTTTTTTTTTGAGACAGAGTCTCCCTCTGTCACCCAGGCTGGAGTTCAGTGGTGCAATCTTGGCTCATTGCAACCTCTGCCCCCCAGATTCAAGTGATTCTCCTGCCTCGGCCTCCCGAGTAGCTGGGATTACAGGCATGCGCCACCATGCTTAGCTAATTTTTGTATTTTTAGTAGAGACGGGGTTTCTCTATGTTGGCCAGGCTGGTCTGGAACTCCTGGCCTCAAGTGAGCCACCCACCTTGGCCTCCCAAAGTGCTAGGATTGCTTGCGTGCTACCAAGCCTGGCCTGTATATATTCTATTGTAATTTTGATGGGCATTGCAAATTGCTCTCTTGAGAAGTTGTATCAGTTCACACTCCCACTAGCAATGCATGCATACCTGCTTTTCTACAGTCTCGCCAATTTAGATGTGTCATAAAACTTTTTGATCTTACCAATCTGCAGGTAAAGTGGAATTGCATCATTTACAATGTAATTTCTCTCAGGATGAAGCTGCGCGTCTTTTCATTCATATAAGATCTGCTTATGGCTGGGTGTGCTGACTCATGCCTGTAACCCCAGCACTTTGGGAGGCCGAGGCGGGTGGATCACCTGAGGTCAGAAGTTCGAGACCAGCCTGGCCAACCTGGTGAAACCCCATAGCTACTAAAAATACAAAATATTCACCGGCCATGGTGGCAGATGCCTGTAGTCCCAACTACTTGGGTGGCTGAGGCAGTAGAATCGCTTGAACCTGGGGGGCAGAGGTTGCAGTGAGCCGAGATCATGCCATTGCACTCTGGCATGGGTAACAAGAATGAAATGTTGTATCAGAAAAAAAAAAAAGAAAGAAAAAAGAAAGAAAGAAAAGATCTGCTTATATTTCCTTTTCTGGGAACTCTCCATACTTTTTTTTGGCCCGTTTTCTACTGTGGATTGGTCTTCATTTGTAAGGACTCTCAATAGAGTGGGAAATTTGCCTTTGTCTGTGATATGAAATGTAAAAATTTGGGAAACTTGATGTTCATAGAAACATCAAAGAAGGATTGTATTCCCTCCACAACAAATACACAGACCTTTCAACCATTGGGAGAACACACTGCACATGCAAAGTGAGATTTGGCTGAGAAGGTTGTCATGCTTTGCAAAAAGAAAAAAAAAAAGCAAGTGTATACTACTGTTCAGAAGCAAAGGAATGGATCTGTGCAATCAACGATGTGGTTTTTGGATAACCTTTAAGGATTACAAGTTAATGTTATTATTACAAGTTTATTATAGCTAATATAACCAATTGGGTTTCTCTAATTAAAATGTCTAAACATCCCCTCATTCATTGCAGGCACATGGAAAATTGAAAAGTCATCTCTCTGTGCTTCCTTCCTGCCATAACTTTCCAAGATGATTACATCACATTAAAATAAAGAATAAGGTCTCAGTTTGGGTGATCTATCTTCAGAATGTATACATGATGCTCAACAGTGATATCTACATCTCAGAATGCAAAGGAGAAGAGTTAGGACTTAAGAAAATAAAACATTATCTTTTCTATACATGACATGGAGAAGTAAAGAAAATACGTTATTTGGGCTGGGCATGGTGGCTTATGCCTATAATATCAGCACTTTGGGAGGCCAAGGCAGGTGGATCATCTGAGGTTGGGAGTTCGAGACCAGCCTAACCAACATGGAGAAACCTTGTATCTACAAAAGATACAAAATTAGCTGACCGTGCTGGCGCATGCCTGTAATCCCAGGTACTCCAGAGGCTGAGGCAGGAGAATCGCTAAAATCCAGGAGGCGGAGGTTGCGGTGAGCTGAGACAGTGCTATTGTACTCCAGCC